AGTCGCGGCAGCCCAGGAACGGCACCACGCTCTGCGCGATGTTGGTCGCGTAGTTGAAGTACGGCCGCGCCGCCAGCACGCCGCACATGCAGCGCAGTGACACCAGCGCCAAGCTCACTGACGCCTCGTCCACTTTCCTGCAAGGTTTATACCAGACCATCGTCACTAACTCACCAGGAATTAACCGAGATGGTTTCTAAGTGGAACCACGTGGAGAACGACCTGATTTGAATCGATGACCCTATTGCTACCCATTGTACCTTCAACTGCTAACAATCCGTTCTCCTTTTTTACAGTTATGTAAGCTAAGAAGCTGACAGTCCACTTGTTAGGGAGTAGACACCATTACCCATCAACACTTGCAAGAGAGGTTGCTAATAATTTGCCCCACTTTTAAGACTGTACAATCGTTTACACAAAATACTAGATTTTATTCACGACTTTATATTCACATTGAACGGGATAAAAAGCGAAGCAGTTGTATTTGCATGATTGTGTTTTTGTTAGAAGGCTAGGATATGGCAGTGAATTTACAGGATACAGAGGAATAACACCTGAGTCCTCAGGAATGGCAACGCATGAGCGGTATAATGGGCGAAACAGTATAGTCTGTTATGTCCATGGCACTGCTCATGTCTAATGGCGACGGTTACCACATTCCATCAGGTGGACCGTCAGCTTGTTCGCCATTCTGTGTTGCATAAAGAAAAGTAGTACTCTATAGCCATTTCCATCTTAAATCATATTTAAGATTATTCGCCACTATCTCTTTAAAAAACGATACCTATGTACTGGGAGTACATAGGTGTCGTTTTGTAAATATGTCTTTGCGTATAATTGGAAAGTCCCCTCGAATTCTGGGGTGGTCATAGCATGCATAATAAAATAAAATAGCCCAACACATATCATACAATATGAATATAATGAAAAGCAAGCTGACATCTCTATTCAGAAAATATCATAGAAAGCCCAAATTAAATGGCAAATGACATCTCATACCTAGTGTCCCCTTTCTTCCGGCGCAACACTGTAGCAGCTTTTTCCAGTCGCTGTAAATATCTTTTATAAAATTCCAGCAACTCTTTTTCATATTTGTACAAGGCGAGCGTGTCTTTCTTTACTGAAAATAATACAATTTAATTATTTGAACAATATTTTAGAATTATTTACAAGTTATGTAGAAGTTTTATGCAAGAAGGTAGAAAAGAAGAATTCTATTGAATTTTACTTGAGACGTGAGATGTTATGTAGTTCCATTCACTACTCCTACAATCAACAGGGCTTCCCCATGTCGATCCTATTTTAAGTAGGGTTTCCTTTTGGTAGTCTATGGGAGAAGCCTATGTTCAACAGTGGACAGGTAACGGCTGAGATGATGATGATGGATAAAACTGCCATTTTTCTTTGTAGAATAACAAATATATTGTTGACTATGAAATATGTAGTTGTGGGGTATCTATGAAACATCTTACCGCTTTCCATCAGGTGGGCCATCAGCTTGTTTGCCATTCTAAGTTTTATAAAAAAAAAAAAAAAAAATCTCATAATTTATCAGTGCATTCACAATGCAAGTAGTTTTTTCTGCAGTGTCATACATACATGTATTGTTCCATGTACTCACATTTAACATTGGAATAATCCTGGTGCCGTATGTGGTAGTCTGGTAGGATATCTTTGAACACTTCATATGCGGAGAGCGTAGCCAATTTACGTACTGAATGCAAGTTGAGTGCACCATCCTTAAGCCTCTCTTCCATCAGATACAGTATGGGAAAGAAATTCTTCAACTGAAACATAAAAATTGATATTATTTCACAAAAAAAATATATCAATAAAATTATTATCGATAATTAATTACTATTAATTAATTATTAAATTTGCTAATTAATATATTAAAATTTGCAAATTTAGTTATTTTGATTTAAAAAGTAAAGTACTGAAGCAATTTTGATGAAATTTCTATACAAAGAATCTGAAAATATACCACATACAAGCAAAATATATCTAAATATAAATTAATTTATTATTTTAATAAAAGTGGCAAATTTCTTGTGGAGTAACTGGAGAGCCCCAAACATCAGGTAAAAATTAATAAATTGGAATATATATAAAAAATAACCTTAATTTTTTTTCAGTTTTATTAGGGTTTCATTACAACATTTACTAATATTATAAATGTGAGAGTGAATTTAACATATTAAATGTTAACTTATGCATGCATATGCATCTTAACGAATCAACAATTTTTTACAAAATTTAGTATTTGAGATTAGAAAAGACATATGTTACTTTTATTGTGGTTAATAATCATACCCCAAAGTTACGAGTAATTATTAGTAACAAATATTGTGAAGCAATTTGTTTGAATAATAAATAAAATACTTCATACTTTCTTCTCAGGACTTTCCAGTAGAGATGAACACAATGCACCAATCCTTAGTTTATCATGTTGTAATTTGTCTCTCCTGGCTGCCATCAGTTGAACAGCAGTTACCACTTCATGGTCTGATGACTCATTCTCCTCAGCCGTGCCCTCTAACCCAGAGTCAGAATCCGATTCTTGTGGTTCCACTTCTTTCTGTACTGGTTTTGCTGGCTTTTTCATTTCCTCTTCAGATTCTGATTCTGTGTGTGTGTAATTTTAGAAAGAAAAATGTTTTAAATTTCATATAATTTTTTAGCATAAAAATTACTTGGTACCCTATCTTGTCCTAATATTTATAACAAGGTAAGTTTCTAAAGATGATTCTATGTTTAGATTTTGGCAATAGCTTAAAGATTGAATAGATTTGAATGAAATTTGTACCATATCCTGTGCTTCTTATCATAATGGGTTTAGTTGACTAAACTAAAGTAGTTTCAAAGTACTTACTTTAGTTTTTTTTTTTAAATTATCAACCCCCAAATTAGTCACAACATGTGGTAATATATGAAAAATAAAAAAAAAGAGTATCATTTTTATTTTTGAAAACTATAAAACTATAAATTACACTCGAATTGTCTACTTTATGATGAACTATGAGGGAATTTATGTTTAGCAATGGATAAAAGATGAGAATGATGGTATTTAAATCTGACAATAGCTGATATGACAAGTCTGATAATGTTTTATTGTAAAATTGTTTGTTACAATTTAGTAACAACAATATATCTACCTTCATACTCTTCACTCCGTTCCATTAAACCATGTTTAGTTTTAATTGGCAACAGTGGTCTCATCTTTTTCGGAGGTCTTTCAGATAACTCCTTTTCATATTTATCTTCTATTTCACTATCAGAGTGTACACTCTCTGCTCCGCTGTCACTGCCGGGTGGGATGAATTTTGGCATACGGCCACCCTTATCTTCTCTTTTACGTTTCTTTGATCTGTAAGAAAAGAGAAAAAAATACATACTTATGAAATCCTTAATAAGGTAGTCAGAGGCATTTGTTGTGGTAAACACTGTAAGCCAGAATGATAAATAACTTACCACACAAAATACAAAAGAATGTATATTGGAGAATGCATTACAAAAGCAGTTTTATCTAGCAGTTTGGGACTAGATGGCATTGTGAAATATGTCCAATGATATAAAGATATTACAAAAAAATAAAAACAATAGACAAACCTAGTAAAGAGTACATACAAACAAACTCAAACTTTAATTAAATAACTTACTCATTCTTTATTTTTATATTTTAGTGAAACACCTCCTAAGTACTGCCTAAACTAGGTACAACATAACAATATTGAACCAATTATTATTTATACAATAATAAAGCCTTTATTGCTGAAAGTATTAAATTATTTTTTTTCTTTTAACACTATTTATACTAATCTGCATTTCCAGCTTGTCCTTTGACATAGGCCTCCTGAAGATACCTTATTTAAATATATTAATTTATTAAATCTATTAATTATATAATTAAGATTATTTATATAAATTTGCTTAAAAAAAAAGTTACACTGACCTGTTTACCTCTTCCTTTTCAGGCACATTAGACAACAGTTGTGGCTGTTTCGCAATCCGACTGAGTATGTACTTTTGCTCCTCATCATCTAACATATCTGCCCACTCGTCACCGGATTCTGACTCACTAGCACTGCTATATTCTACAGGCTTCTGTGATGGCGGTTTCTGCTTCTGAACTTTATTTTTGTGCCGCTGCAGTTTTAATTTTCCTTGTTTCTTCATCTTGTTGGTTGTCTGGTTATTCCTTTTCACTTTGCTAATTTTTGGTTTACCTTTTTTCTGCAAATTTAAATTTGTTGGTTAGTTTATTGTTAACTTTCCGAAAATCGTAAAATCTCTACATATATTTCACGTAGTATACTTACAGCCATTTTTTAAATTTAATACAGGATTTTTTATGAATTAAAGAATGTTAGCTATAATTATTACTTTCGTAATAATTAAAATAAAAAGAACGTGGCTTTCACACACAATGTTAAAAAATGTCAAAAAAATAAAAACACAAAAATGACATGTGAAGATTGATGACAATTGAATGAAGTCTAACGTCAAATGAAATCTTGTTTTGTCGTAGATTAAGAATAGTACCAGCGATATGTCAATAAAGAAGATAATGTTGTAATAAATTAAATTAAATTAAATTTTATACACATCTCCATTCATTCTTGCTCGCTGTAACAATTAATTCTTTTCAATATGTAGTTCAGACGTAATGATTACAGCATTTATCTTACTTTCATGCTATTAACTGAGTGTTGGTGTCAGTACTCCTTGAATTAATTTGCTTTTATTAATAATCGAGAGCCATACAATATCTCTGTCATCATCAAACAAAGAAAATATTTTTAATCATATATATTAAATTTCTGAACGCAATCAAACTTTCTAAAGAAAGAATGACGTTAATATGTCAGTAAAGTTTACACATTCCTGTAAAAATTATCTTTTTGAAGACTAGGACAGCATGGTCTCCAACCTTAGCCTGTTCTTTTATTAAGCAAACGGAACAAACGTATATTAAAAAAAAAAAAAAAAAAAAAAAAGTTTACAAGAGCTTCGAAACTTTCAATTCTAGTTTTTCTAGTTTTGAAACTAAATTTCACTAACTTGTTTCCGTTTATTTTCTAATGAATCTTATTCTCCATTATAGAAACCTCTTTCATTAAATTTTGAATCTTCCTACAATGTGTTACATATATAATATCAACTTGTAAACGTTGGTAATTTTCGACAACTTCGCGAAAGATTTGTGATGGTGCCCCAACAGCAACGGAGAAGACGTCGACGAGCAGCGCTTCCGCGTACGACTGAACGGCGTCTGGTCGTGGCGCGTGGGGCTGGAGGCTTTGGTTTTACGATAGCTGGCCAACGTCCTTGTGTGGTGTCCGCTGTAGCTTCCGGAGGGCCCGCAGAACGCGCTGGTCTTCGGGCCGGAGATGCTTTGTTGGCAGTGGACGGTGCGAGTGTAGCAAGAGCTCCTCATGCATCAGTGGCAAGGCTTGTTGCAGCTGCGCCTGGGGCGATATCTCTCAGTGTAGCCCCCAGGGAGTCACCGCCGACCGATACTGAGGACACGGAACCTGATGAGAGGGCTAGAACAAGGAGACGCCATCCACCGCCTAGAAGAAGACCACAGATGGTGCACCATCCTGGTAAGATTTTATTTATTAAAAAAATTGAAAAAGGAGTAATTTTTGTACTTGAAAGACACAAGATTGTGTGTGTTCTTATTAATAATATATATATTATGATTTTTTTAGCAGTAATCTTTTATCCTTAGTTTATAGAGTGTATTTTGCAAAGAAAATTTTTATGTGTGAGTGGGCTGCAGCCACAAATTATATGCTGTGGCATTTCTTCCTCATCATGACAAAATTTGCAAATTGTTTTTGGGTATAAGTCTAGTTGGGCCATAGGCTTGTTTAGTTTGCAGTGTCTAGTGACTGTCCTTGTTAATATACAAATATTAAAATTCTATTATTTATTTAAATAAAACCTATAAAAAGTATTAAATTCTTTTATTACTTTCTTTCAAATGGAAAACACATCAATAACTACTGGTGTATTAGATATTAATTGATCTTGGCTGCTTCACTTGAAAGAATCAGTATTTCAAGTACATGTTAAGTTAGAATATAACTTATCTGTACCAAATTTCAGTCAAATCTGTTCACCATATTCCATGAGATTGAGTAATAAACATACAAACATCTTTATAAACATTTATAATATTAGTAGTTTTGATGTATTTATGAATAAAGCTATTAATATCTAAATTTAGTATTGTTAGCTTTACAGATTAACATATATTTTTTTTTATGCAAGCAAACATTATTCTATAATCTAATACATTAATGATAAAGACATTTGCATGATCTTTATGTAATAAAAAAATAAATAACAATTTTCATATATACATATATAATTATGGTATGGTGGTCTTATTTTATATTTAAATCTAACAATAATTATTTTACTGTTTACAGATGGGTACATAACATAACATAGGTATGTTAAAATGGCTTCAAAATATATGTGCACCTTGTATTTGTTTGTGTACCAGTTAAATAGATGTTGCAACTACTGGATTTATGTGAAATTTGAGTATTTTACTATTAAACTACTATTTATATGAGTTTTACTCATATATTACTATTGTGAATTGCCTATAATATTGTTTAACAATAGCAAGTTGTTACCTACTGTGATTTTGTAAGAGCTGTTTGCAACTCTCTGCTAATTCTTCATTCTCCTTTTGAAAAAGTATTTTCAAAATTTATATATAGTGTTTAAAAAAACAGCATAAGGTTTTATTTTTTAACTTTATTATTTTATTTCTTATTTGTCATTCTAAATTGTATAAAAAAGTCATCTAGAAAATTATAAAAATAATTTTTACGTATGAACTGCAATTTTTAATTTAATCTAAAGTAATTGGACTCTATTGTACCAATTTAGAGTAAAAATTGACATACAAAATATATGTAGTTGTGGCATCTATTATAAATCCATATCTGTGTTTTGTATTGTGCACTAACCATTCATTGGCACAGAAACTTATGAAACAAACATATTACAGTTCTTTTTTGTTGATGCTTAAGCTCTCTTATTGTTATGGGATTTTTATCTAAAGGAAATTTGTTTAGATTACAATTTAAGCTGATGTTATGTGACATAGAGATCTAAGGTGTTACATGAAAACTTAATGCCGGAACTGTCATCCTGATTGATTGATCTAGCCTTGAAAGATGCCATATTAAATATATCAATAAGTAAACATATCATTGTTTACGACCTTGTAATAATGTTATAATTGTTTTTGTTTACGTACAGTATGTTGTAATAATGTTATAATTGGTTTTTGTTTACATACACTGTGTAATGGATCTTGCATTATATGAACCAAAATGTTATATGAAAATATTGCATGGTTGCTTGAAAAAATATTTCTAGTATGGCAATATAATATTGTAATGTAATGAGATATTACAAAGTATGAGGAGAGGATTTGATTTCAAGTTCAGAATGTAATAATATAGGTTTATATTAACATAACATTGTGTAAAATCAGCTTTACACATTCATGGTCACAGAACATTGTAAACAAATGTTCTCTCTTATGGCAAGCATTTGAGAAGGTTTACAATGTTGTTTGTTTAAAAATGATGTTTGTAATTAGCTGCTGTTGTTTAGCTACTGTTCCTAATTTCTATTCTATACACTTACAACAGTGCAATGTACATATTTTTTGTTTCTTACAACATGCTTTCATTCTACTAATCTTTATACTCTTGCACACACAATGGCCTGGTCTTTTTGCCTAACTGCTATATTAGTGATCTTTATAATACTAAAAATATATATTTTATATTTATAATGCTAACAAAACAGTGGTATTTTTTTTATTTTTTTAAGCATGGTATCACAAACATGTATATTTTAATTACGAATTTAAAACAGATAAAATACTTTGATTTAAAGTTCAAAATTCTAAATCTCAGTATTTATTAATATTTAAAAATTATACAACAATATATATAGATATATATCGTTTTAGATTTACCATTCTACAAAAAAAGTCTATTTAAATTTTTTGTGCGAATTTTCAGGTTGCCATGCAGCTGCGTCAAGTACATTAGGCGTCAATGAAATTCTCCAAAACCTGAGTCGAGCTCAACTGACTCCCAGTCATGTTGCCCGGCTTGAGTGCCGGGCCGTCGTGGGATATCTCGGCACCATTGAGACACCGCAGGCGGCCAATAACGCGGCCCCCAGCAACGTACGTACAGCGGTCAGGAAACTGAGGCAGGAACGACGCCCAGCAGCACCTGTGTTGTTATCCGTACTCCCGAATTCACTACTTCTCAGGCGCCCCACAGGACAAATTCTCGCTCAGTATCAACGTGAACGCATAGTTTACGCTGGATGTGGCTCGGATGCGGACAGAAGGTATTTTGGTTTGGTGACGTCAGCAGAGCCGACCGAAGAGGAAGCATCGCACAGTTGCCACATCTTCGCGGTCGACCCGCGAATGGCGGAACATGAAGCTCATACAGCCAGAGCGAGAGAGTTCCAAATCGTTTGCACGAGGGACCCAGTGGCAGAGCGGTGTTTAGAGTTCCCACCGTCAGCGGAATACGTTGTTGGGGTCATAAGAGGGATGTATTCGTTACCCGCCGAAAATTGTTCAAGTCCTAATTTGCAACAGATATCTAAGTTAGCTGTGAAAGGCGATAGTCCAATGTTAGGTAATTTTTCAAGGTGTAACCGCCCTGTTTTCCGCGTGCCTCGAGATCGAAGGCCGTGCAGGCACGAAGACGCGCGAATTGAAGGTCAAGAGTTTGTGGCGAACTCACCGCAGCCTAGTAACCACAGTGAGGTGACTACTACGTCTAGCAACAGCGATTCCGGGATAGGCTTTCATAATGATTGTCGGAATATCGCGGATAGGATATTGGTGGTCGATTTTGCCCAGCAGGCCCCTCCAAATAGGTTCAGACAAGATATGCCTCGAAGGCCAATCGGGTTGGTCGGTTGTAGCAGCTTTGACGCTGATGGTTCCTTCTTGTCTAACACGACACCCGTTGTGGATGGCTTCGGTGGGCAAGGTAGACCACTGAACCTTGACGATGTAATAATAAATACAAATGATCCCCAAACCGTTCGCCATGTGAGCCCGCGAAACGAAGACGACAATTATAACTATAATAATATCTACGGGAATATTCCATCAAGTTCTAAGGCATTCTCGAACGGAGTGGTGTACGACCAAGTGTATACTGAGAATGAAGGTGACCACTACGAATTCATTTCTCAACAACTGGATGTCGACTTGGACGTAGATAGGGTGGCGGAGAAATTTAATTCAGTTGAGATTTACGAGGAGAGATCACGGCAGCCACCTGACTGGCAGTCCAATGAGTCGGTGGAAAACGTGACCGTGATATCCGGGGGCACCAGTAAGGCTAGCATGGACTCTGTGTCGGTGTACTCGTCCAGGAGTCACGAGGAAGCGAGGCCGGTTAGGAGGAAGCACCTCCAGGCTTCTCTCGATGATATGCTGGTGATTGGCATGAGGGATCCGCCGCCGAAAAATAAGGATGATGACAATTTTGTTCATCCTGCTACTGTAAAGAGCAAGGTTAGTATTTTAATAAACAAGCATATGAACATTATTTTATTGATCTGTACAAACATACACACATGCTCTCCGTAAAAAAATACTAAATAATTTTTAACAATACTCCAAACGCTTAAAACTGTATTAAACATTAAATACAGAAAGACCTTTCCTCCTATGTCTTGTTTTCAAAAATAATCATGTGGTCTTCAAAAGACGCCTGAAAAAGCAGTCAGTACGCTGACATAGCCAGGTCAAGCAGTGAATTATCTAACTTATAGGTTGATCTTGTTATTGTGCACAAAATCTTGCTTTTCCACTATCACTAAAAATAAATTAAAAGCCCCTCAAAATATGTTTTTACTGTACTGTGGGTACCACCTCTCATTAGATTGATCGCCACTAAGTTCACCTTCATAATTAGTTTAAAAACTTTTGGTTAAAAAACAAAAATTAAATATTCCATCAAATTATTCTATTTTACTATTCCATGTACATGCTAAAATGAACTTTTTTTTTATACAACTTAAAATGGCAAACAAACTGACGGTCCACCTGATGGAAAGTGGTAACCGTCGCCTATAGACATGAGCAGTACCATGAACATAACAGAGTATACTGTTTCGTCCATGATACCCCCCATGCGTTACCGTTCCTGAGGACTCAGGTGTTATTCCTCTGTACCCAGTAAATTCACTGTCGTATTATTGTTTATTGTATAGATAACTGATGATATTTTATTATTGCCTTATTCCCTTTTTGCCACAACAGAATATCAGTGTTTTGCTCTTTTGAGGGCAAATCAATAGAGTTGTAGCCATTTTGTATTAATAGTGCACACGTACGAAAGGACAAATTATGTTATTTTTTTATGTATTTTTTCTTTTTGTACATTTATTTCTTTTATTTTGCTTTTTCTGTGTCTGTTGTGATATGTGTCCTGTAAGTAATGAAAATAAATTATATATCTGTATGTAGGTGCGTAAATCGCTAAAGCCGCTGAACCTGCTGTCGAGAACGAAGCACATGCTGTCGGGACGGGAGCGGGAACGAGAACGGGAGAAGGAGAAGGAAGCGCGGCGGCGGGCGTTAAGCGCGAGCGCGGGCGACGCGGCGGACGGTCAGCGGCCCGACCTCGCACTGCCCGCCGCCGCCAGCGAGCCCGACCTCAGGGATACGCAGGTCAGACTCTTTCTCTCTCTATCTCTCTCTCTCTCTCTCTCTCTCTCTCTCTCTCTCTCTTTCTCTCTCTCTCTCTCTTTCTCTTTACTGCTTTAAGTGTTATTTTGCGAAAGCGCATATCACTGGTTAGTGAATTAGAATTATTTTGTTTAACCATTAGTAGGGGGAAAGGGATTGTTAGTAATGGAGACTGAGAATCCCATTGCTAGCAATATACCCAACCAGGTCGACCTCCTCGCGGTTCCCCCTGGAAACTATCATGGTTAATTCGTGATGAATTCATCATCATAGGCTACCTGGCCTGTTTTCATTCTCATCTATCACCCTTCACTGGTGCTCCGCCAGCGTATCCCGTTAGCGCAGGCGGGGTTACTATACCAAACACAACTGCTTCACGGTTGAAACACGAATGGGACAGAGGTACCCAAGCAAACATATTTTTTTTATTACGAAATTCAAATACAATGTCTATGGAGCAGGTCTATGTTGAGCAGTGGATAGTTAAATGCTGATATAATGTTGATGATATTATCTATGGCAATTCCAAACAATGGGGGTCCAGGACGATATGATTTTCAACCCATCTCTCCATCTTGTTCGACTGAGGCGCAATACGCGCGTACGCACGGCGCCCGTCAGTGCGCCCGCATCTCTAATTTAGCTTCAATTAACTAATGCGAGCATTAATAATGACGTTGTAGAATGGTGCATGTACCAATTGATAGTTTTCAATATATATATTTCTATATATTGTTTATATATATATATATATATATATATATATATATATATATATATATATATATATATATATATATATATATATATATATATATATATGTTTTCAAAATACACTCAGATTGTGGAATGAGCTCCCTGCTGAGGTTTTCTCAAGAGACTACAGCATGGGGTTCTTTAAAAGGGGGGTAAAGAGATTTCTTCAGGGTCGGCAACGCACGCGTAATACCTCTGGTATTGCAGGTGTTCATAGGCTACGGTAACCACTTACCATCAGGTGGGCTATATGCTTGTTTGCCACCTCAGTGGTATAATATATATATAGGATGGTAGTACGATCCCCCACTAGACGGAGTGATGACCTGAAATGCATTGCAGGGAGTCAGTGGATGCAGGTGGCTCAGGACCGTTCTTTATAGCAGTCTATGAGGGAGGGAGGCCTATGTCCAGCAGTGGACGGATAATGGCTGAAGTGATGATGATGATGATATATTTTTAATATATGTGAGCTGAACTTGATATTTACACTAAATATGCCTAAAACTATTTTCTGTGTAACAGTTTCTTTTGTATAAGTATAATTATTTCAAATTAATTTGTCAGTACAAATTCTTCTGTAAATCAACTTTGTATATTTATTGATACACAGCCATTAGAACTAGACTGTAGATCTACTTCGAATGACGTACGACTGTATAGAAAAGCACTACGTTTTCTGAGAAATAGATAACGTGAGTTGATACTTTGATACATGGGTCACGGCCAGTATGTTGATATAACTAAATTTAACTAATTCTTAAAATAATCCTTATTCTGTGTGTATTAGAATTTGTATTATCATGTAATAATCGTATTGTTATCTCCAATATGTAGTGGGAATTATTTGTTTTAGTAATAACAATTAGAAACACACACACACACACACACACACACACACACACGCACACGCACACATACACGCACACGCACACATACACACGCGCATACGCACACTCGCATACAGAGAGAGAGACAGAATTTTTATATAATTCTTTTTTATGTCAGAAAATAAATATATATAAAAAAATAATAAAAAGAAATTAACCCTTTGCTATAATGTCTTTACATTAAAATAAAATATAACTGGATCAAAAAGCCTCCTTCTTTTTTTTTAAATGGTTAATGATTTATCATTTTCAATCAAGTCAGCTGACAGATTATTATTCTATGTTGCATAAAAAAAAAAAATAATGAAATAATATAATCATAATCAATTCATGCACCAATTCAGAATAGGAGTCCTACAATAGTCCAATCAATTGGTCACTGCATGTTTGGAGTCCCCGGTCCCGGTTAGTCTCTTGCCGCGGTTCTACAAGCCACGCGTCTTATATATTATAGTTGTGGTACTAGTCTAGTATTTATGTTATCTGTGGTTCTGTGATACAGTGATTTATTAACCGGTATCCACAGTTACGACTAAATAAGTGTGTGTTGTGTAACGTTCTTGTAACAGATTCGCTAGTGTTTCTTCTTTCCACAATAGCTATCGGTCGCCATTTTTACGACTTCTGCCAGCGTCATGTATAATAAGCTCGTAAATCGAATATTATTATTTTTCTACAAGAAATATTCATTATAAAATATTCAAATAGCGAACAATTACGTATTGATTTATTGCATATTTATGTATGCTCAAATTACAACTCGGGGGGGGGGGGGGGGGGGAAGGGATTATTAGTAATGGAAGCTAAAGGTCCTATTGCTAGCAATATACTCAACCAGGTCGACCTCCCCGTAGTCTCCCTGATAAACATAGTGCTGAATTCCAAGTGTATTCATCGCAATGGGCTAACTGACCTGCTTTTTTTTATTCTCATCTATCATGCCTCACTGATGCCCGGCATGGTATACCGTTAGCGCAGGCGGAGCTACTATTCCATTATTATCCATTAAAAAAAACTACAGTTCTTCAATTTAAACTAAAAAAAAAAACCATCGCACGTGTTCATCAGTATAATTTTAGGTATACATACACTAGCGGGAAAAAATTAAGGGATCAAAAAAAAATTTACACATTTTTCGAGATTTTTCAAATAGTAAATGTATCTTTGATAAAAGTGCGAGTGAATCTGGGTAATTAACTATTCACGTATACATACATAGTATGTCACCTGGCTTCGTACTTGGCCGCGATTTTATAAGTGATACTTTATTGATGTTGAGCAAGTCCCAATAATAAATATTTGTAAGACGTGAGTGTACAAGGCTACCATGATAAATACAATAAACATAATACACGTAGACGCATATAATTTGAGTAAATATATTTTTGTAAGTGAAAAACATATCAAGAAATTTCTGTCCACCCGCTTTAAGCATGTGTTTAAACCTCTTAATGTGGTTGATTCAGAAAAAGTAAACTCCGTCTTGTCTTTTACATATCCTTTTAATTAATGTCGACTTTGATAGATACCTGCTGCTGATTTTCACCAACGTACAACCCGTTATAAACTAAAGTTTCATCCCAACCATCTGGACGAGTGGCGGTCTGCCACTGCGCGTTTTTCAAGGCACTTTCTTCCACGCACAACCACTCTTTGGAATCAACTTCCAACAGCAGTATTTCCGAACCGATATGACATGATAACCTTAAAAAAAGAGCATATTCTTTTTTAAAAGACCGGCAGCACACCTGCAATGCCACTAGTGTTGTGGGTGATCATGGGCGGCGGTAGTCACTTACCATCAGGTGAGCCGAAGCTATAATTGGCGTTTTTAACACCATGGGTGTTTCCTAAACAGTGATAATATCATATAGAATTTTGTAATGACATATTTTTAAAGAAATTATCTTATATGTCATCATATCACCGTTAACTGTCCACTGCTGAACATAGGCCTCTCTTGGGGAGTTTTGCCAGTAGTTGCCACGCTTGACAGGCTGGTTGGTAACCGTAATTAGACTTCAGTGATGTTTTAAGAGGAACACTGCTGTCCATCCCTCGACCATTAAGTGACATATATTAAATGTTATTTTAAGACAGGGATGGAAGTGTGAAAGATGATATGACTAGCGGATCTACCATGAAATGAAATTCCAAAATTTCGGACTCAATTTCGTGTTTTTGTTTATACCAAAATCGGACCAATAAATGTAGTTTAACATTTTCTTCATCATATTACATCCTATCATAAAAGTCCAAAGGAACAATATTTTAACATTTTTAATATTTCCAAACGGCATGTATTGTGTAATTTTAACATCAAATTTGTGTTTCGTTTGGCTCCGAAATTTCGGAAAACACTTCATGGTAGGCCCTCAGAACGGGACGAGTTCTGGAAATGACTGTGAATAGAGAAGAATGGAAAGGAAAAACATATTATTAATTACGTCGATTCCAAATAATAATTGTAATAAGAATTGAAAGATGATGATAATGTAATTTTACTCATTTGCTCCACTTATTTTTTCATACAACACCGTTATCTTATCTTTCTTACCAGAGGGAGACTTTGTACAAAAGTCATTTGCTTGGGTACCTCTGTCCCATTCGTGTTTCAACCGTGAAGCAATTGTGTTTGCCCAACTGTGTTTCAGTTTCAAAGATGGGACATGGCAGTTAATTTACAGCGTGCAGAGGAATAACACCTGAGTCCTTAGAGATAGCAATGCATGACGGGTATTATGGGCGAAACAGTATACTCTGTTATGTCCATGGTACTGCATATGTCTATAGGCGACGGTTACCATTTTCCATCAGGGGGCCGCCAGCTTGTTTGCCATTCGAAGTTGTATAAAAATTAAAATAAGACCTAAAATTAGGAACGATAATTTTTTTTTTTATATTTTTTTGTTAATAAAAATAAACTTGTCTCTGCCCTGTTGCCTCATACTTTACATGTTTTTCACAAAGATTGTAACAAACAATACGAAGTTGTGACCCGTTTTTATTTAGCGAGCTGTTAACATATTAGCACCGGTGTGCGGACGTGATTGGCGCTGGTCGTCGTCCACACCCCAACAATGGGCACGTGGGGCACGGTCGTGACCGTCGAGTTAGGGTCTCGGATAAACACCATAATAATATTATTTATAGCGTGCCACGAAACGTTGAAATATTCAGGGTATTATGTACCTACTGAGCGACTTCAACATTTATTGAACAAGTAACTGTTTAACAACTATTTTGTTTATACCACTGAGGTGGCAAACAAGCATACGGCCCACCTGATGGTAAGTGGTTACCATAGCCTATGAATATCTGCAATACCAGAGGTAT